TTTTCGAGCCAAAATTTTCTTAATGTCATCCTATTATTCCTCATCAGGGCTCCCAGTGTGAGAGGGAATATTGATGCTGAAGGGAAGAGGCAGGATGAGGGGCCACAGAAACTCCTAGGGTAGTGAATGGAGGGAGGGAGACATGGGGGGGAGTGCAAATTCCACCAGCTTTTTTCCACTTCCACCCAATTCTAGACACTTCTCAAGGTATTTAAGACAACAACATTGTATCCATTCAATACCACAACCTTGGGTCCATTCTAGGACATGCACTTCAACATGGCAACCACCCTTCAAGACAGAACCATTGTATCTATTCAAGGGCTCATTCAAGTTTCCACATATAACTAGCTGCTGTTTTGAGAGTTAAATATACTCGCACATGACTGCTTTGAAAATGAATGCTCTTTGGAAATTGTATTTTACTTGAAATAGTTAGCATAGAAGGGCTCTTCTTTACTTTAGCCGTATCAGATGATTGATATTTCTTAGCTTGGGGTGAAAATCTTGCTCTGGGAAGCAGTTTCAGAGAAAATGTGTGAGGCTAAGGGAACAGAGGGAGGGATTCAGACTTCTGAGCTTCTGCATGTGTGCACATATGTGCCAGAAACGACTTTTAAATGGATTGACCATTGGAGAGAGAAGACGGTCCTACAGATACCACCCCTTAATCAAGTCACTACACTTGCACTCTCCATCAGCGACCAGAGCACCTCTGCACGTAGAGCAGTCAAACAGGGCTTGATGTTACTGTTTGTCAGGGAGCAAAGCAGAGAGCACCTGCGTGCTGCTATCACAGCTGCAAAAACATATTGTAGTAGTTGAGCAGATGGTGCGTAGATGAGTTTGAAATATGAAAGATGCAAGAATTTGATATGCTAGACCAGGCAGTCCTCAACTTACAACATTTCGAGTTACAACATTTCGCACTTACAACATTTATAAATTGACACCCTGTTTCAACTTTATGACATCAGTTTCGACTTTACAACGCTTGATCCAATGCGACGTTGTACCAGCGAACAAGTTCACTGCGTCACGCATCTCCTTGGAGAACATCTGTCCAAACTTCCTCAGACACTTTCTTTATGAAAGCAGACAAGACTCGAGAAACACCTGCAGCCAAAACTCCTGAGAAGACTCCAGCCAGGAGCCCTTCAAAAAGTCCAGCAAAGTCACCTCAAACAAGTCCTTCCAAATCAGTATGATTGCTATTTACAATATAAATACATTAATGTAGTTATATTACTCATCTATAATTGATCGAGTACAATATGTGGGGTATTTTTGGTGAAAATAGGGTATTGGGCCTTGGTTCAGGAACCAGTCCCCCATTTATAACATTGTGAAAATTTATTGCGAGTTACAACATTTTGACTTCAGACACGGTTTTCAGGAATCAATTGTGTCGTAAGTCCGAGGCCTGCCTGTACTGGGAATCCTGCCCTAGCCAATGCACAGGCAAAGATGTGACCATCTCACATCTCTGTGTTTTTAAAGTAAACATGTTATAAAATACACACTATAAAGCATAGGGTTGAAAGGAAAACCAACCGACCAAAAACACACGCAACACAACAGCACCAAAGCCACACACACTACCAGAAATGGAACTAAGGTGCAGGATTCAGGTCTGGATTTATAATCCACACATTTTTAGGATTTGAGTGTTTTTTTTAAAAAAAACTACAAAAATACAGCCATTAAAGAATATTATCAACTGTTATGAATGGCTCCTGGGAAATTAATAAATTAAATCCCCAAAACATAAAAAGGGGAGAAGAGTGCACCAGCCTTATTTCTTTCCATCAGCTCCATCTCTGTGGCTGGTGAGCCCTAAAAGCTTATTTGCCCATCTTTCAGAGTGGTAGCACTCAAGACACAGCATTAATTTAGAGTTTACCATTGCATAAGTTGCAAATTCTGAAGTCCCTAAAAGTATCACACTAGGCCCTACCTATGAAGAATAGCACAGCCTCACAGATTGAGGTAATGAACTCTGATGCCATGTGGATGGCAGCAAGCATGCACAGTTTTGGCCAGTGATGTGATATTGCTACTATGATGGCTCCACAAATTAGACCAATTTCACACTAAAGGCACTACCTGCTCCTAACATTTTCTTTCCCAGTTGGAGTCCGCATCACTTGCTGATCTTCTGTCTTCATAAAAGATTTCTAGTTCATTTAAAACTTGGCTCCCTTGTGCAGTTTTAGAATTCCTTCCTAAGCTTAAAGTTGGAAATGCTCCCTTGCTTCTGAGACAAAGAAAAGCAAATTCTTTTAGGTGCTAGACCCAGAAGGCTTTATGCTACATACTAGTCTTAATTGGAATTTGAGATGCACAAATACAGCGCAGGCTCTCAATGGTATATGCCAGCAGGCTCAGACTCTCTGTCGTGTGTAGCATGGAGCTAGAAGAGCACTGGAGAAAATCCAAAGAACAGAAAATAAGATATTGTCCTTTGAACCCGGACATGCAGTTCAAGATACTAAGTTCAGAGGGGTACATATGGGTTCAGAAAGGAACATCGTACTTTGTGTTCTTCTTATGTAGTATTTACATATAGTGTTTTATGTATTGTGTGTGTAAATAAATATATATATATACATATTTTTACACCTATAAAATGCATGGGTACTCAATCTAAGAAGCCACTTCTCAGCTTTGGGACTCCCCATCCCTTGAGGCCCATCGGAGCCCAAGCATGGACATCTTCAGGAAGCTTTGTAAGACCTTTTTGTTTGAGCAGGCGTTTAGCAAGCAGGGCAAGTATTGGGGTACTCTCTGGGGGGGGTTGGTTGGGGGACTTGTTTTATTACTTACTATTTTATTTTAATACTAGCAATTTGCCTGTCAAGAATGGGGAGGGGGAGGGAGGGGACAGATAGGGAAAACGTGCTAGCCCTAATCCTAACCCCCCTCCGTGCTGCCACCACCTCCCAGGAGCGGGCAGGGGGAAACTTGCCCCGCCATCCCCTCTGTCCCCCTCTGCCAGCACCCTGCACCACTGCCACCTCCAAGGAGCAGGGCTGGGGTTGAGGTGAGCGGCATTAGCCTCGCCCCCCAGCGCCGACCCCTCCATCCCTGCCATCATGGCAGTGCCCCACCGCACGGCCGCCACCGCCTCCTGTTTCAGTAACCAATCAGAGTGCTCCAAGAGCATTACGGCCAGACAGACTAAGCCCTATATGGTATTAGAATTGTATCTCTTACTGTAATTTAGCTTGTTTTTATTGTAAGCTGCCCCAGAGCCTTTTGGGGGGAGGGTAGCATATAGAGGAAATAAATACAAACACACACTCACCCCCTTTCTAACAAGGACTGACCATCTGGATAAACCCACTCAGTTGTTTTCTTGCCCGCAGCCTGAGGGACTTAGTCCTAAGTCTAGAAATATTGCCTGCCAGTCTGCACCACCCAAGTATGCAAATGATCTTCTTATCCACTGAAAACTTCACTAGGACAGGCTCATGGAAGACCAGGCCTAGGGCAGGATGCACGCATTGCCCCACTGGCCAGAGGGCCATCTAATGGGTGAGAACAAAACTCACCCCCAAGTCAGATCAGGCCAAAGATGAAACGCTCAGCTGTATTTTCTCTTTTCTCCTAGTCCCTTCCTTTCAATTGCTCTGTGTTGTCTCTTGTTATGATATCCTGGGTCTTCACTCATCCTGCCCTTCTGATGTGCATTAGCATACCTTGGTGGTTGGGGGCTGCGGGGTGCAGTTTCAGTTGATTCGTTGCCCCGATCTGCTCCTGAGCCAGCAGTCCCTGTTCGGGGAGCTTGTACTCAGAAGACAGCAGGCAGTGCTCCAGGGGAGGCACATGGCATCACCAGAGCAGATGGCCTTCTGAAGCTCCAAGGGGATGATGGATCCATCCACAGCCGTCCCGGAGCCCTAGCCCCCTTACCTTTCCAGAAATATTTCCCCTGATTGTATTTCCATGTATATCCCCAGTTTGAAAAGCTGCTTCCTCGGAAGAAACTTGCTAGAAGAGCTTAGCTCAGACCAGCTCAGAAAGCCTGCAGAATCAAAGAGGGATGCTGCAGGGGAAAATAGAACAGGCAGAGCAAGAGGAAGAGAAAGACAAAACAGCCCCTTTGACTAGAGCAAAACTTGTTGAGATCAGCGCGGGAATCAGAGCTCACAAGTCCTCTGCAGAGGATAAGGTTGATAAGATGAAAGCAGAAATAAAAGAAATTGGAGGCAAGGTCATACACCTGGAGATAAAGGTGGAGAGAAACCTGCAATCAGTAGTAACTCTGCAAAATAAAATCAAGCTGATTGAAAGGGAGCTTGTAGAGAAAATTGAGGACATAGAAAATCAGGAGCGAAAAAATAGCATAAGAATTAAAGGGCTCTCAGAAGGCATGCAGAGGGAAATCCAGTTGAATATTTAAGGTTAGCTTTCCACTCCTCCCCACATCTGGAGACTAAGGCAATAGTCCTTATAGACAGAGCACACAGAACTCTCTCTGTCCCCCAACTCCAGTAAAGCCAGACACCTGTGCCCAGTTTTGCACAAAAGCAGCAGATTCTGAACCAGACTAGGGGGACTTCAGATCCGACCCTGGGAGGCTATAAAGTACCAGTGTTTCAAGACTTGTCACAGACTACATTAAGGGCCTCATCATCAATTAATGTCCTTTCTAACAGTTGCAAATCAGTGCAAAGTCATGATGTTGTAAAGTTAGTATGTGTTATGGCGGTGTGGGTGTCACATGTTCACTTGCAACCGTTGCAAAGTACTGATCCCCAGGTAGTAAGTAACCTATTGAAGTTAGGACATGTTAAGGAGATACTCCTTGCATGAAAGGAAACAACTCTACAAGGCTAACGTGCCAAACTGCTTGAAGTGTAGCTGCTTGCCTTTTAACTAGGCTGACCATAAGGAAAAACTAGGACATCCAGGACACGGTATGCTGTGCCGCTACATGTCCCTCCACTTCCCTGCCAGACTGCGCCCCATGCCCCTGCATTTCCGGGGTTCTCATTTTAATTCTCACCAGCTGGCCAAGGGCAGCCTCCAAAATCCAGGACAGTCCTGGCTAAACTGGGACACATGGTCACCCTAATTTTAAGTGCACTTATTAAGTGTTCACTTGAATTTGTGACAACACCCTAAAAGAAAAGGGAAGAAAATAAGAGTTAACAGCATCTCTCGGAAGAGCAAACAAGATACAGAGATGGGACTTTCATTTGTAACTTATCTTTACACATCAAGAACAGCAGCAACCATAACAATAATGCATGTTAATGTAGTATAATATATTAATATTTGTTGTTGTCATTATTCCCTGGGGGTGGGAGTCAGGAAAGAGTTCACTACTCAGACAGGGAGGGGTTTGAGAAACGGAGTGGTTTTCTTTCCATTTGAGAATTAGGGTGTTGGTTGTAGTCATTTTGGTCTAAGGACATAAGCAGACAAGGTTCTTTGGGTAAATGTGATATACACTTATTAGTTCATCTAATAAAAGAGAAGTTTAGTAATACCTTTAGGTCTGTACTCTGAGTTATAATCTTGCTCTTGTAGATACATAAGGCAGC